GAGACAATTAGTAATCTAAAGAACAAATGTGCATCAACGTGAATAAATTTTAATTGGCAACACTAATGGCCTAATAGACTGTGAAATCATGTCTTGACAAGATAAATTGACAATTCTTCCCTCTTAAGCGAAAGGAAATTGCAACTTATGATTTTCAAAAAGATAAAAGGATTTCGGGCTAAGATAGACCCAAAGTTTTTTAATACTAAAATAAAAATAAGGAGTTTACAAAAATATTGATCAAATGTGTATATGCAACGTATATAAAAAAAAATAAATAGTTGAGCTAAATGCTTTAAAATGAGATTATGATGAAATTTTATCATCCAAAAAAGTCATTCTGCTTCCTGACAATTAAAATCAAATTTTATCACAGATAAATAAATAGATTCTATCACTCAAAAACCTCTTCTGTCTATACTACTAGCAGTAAATTAAAAAAAGGACGGAAGGATAAAGTAAACATTGTGCACTGTGAATGTTTTTAACTTGATGACAGTATCAGCGTTGAAACAGAAAGTCAAGAAGACGATAAATAAAATATGTCTTCGTACTACATCCATTTTCTTTCGAAATTAAAATTAAATGATTGCCGAACAGATGCATGAGGAGAATATGATCCTGGACCAGGCTGATCGATATTTGGTAAATCTCCCGTCCATCGACTTGTACTGGATACAAATGCCGCTGAACTCATATATTTCTTTTCCAAATCCTTAAAATCACGAATATTGTCTAAAACATATAGATATTATAACAGTTTTATATAGAGCTATTGATCGTGTGGTAATGAATACATACAAGCACCTGGACCAGGCATAGGTGTTTCAGGAGGTGGAGGTACAGCAGAAGCACTAATTGCTAAATAATGATGTCGACTATGTAAAGAAATATACCACTAAGAAAATAAGTGAATACAGTTAACGCACAACTAAACTTACGGTAATAATTGACGTACGACTTCTTCTTTTAGTGGTTCATATGGACAATAAGTACCAGGTCCGGGATGCTTGGAAAAAGAAAATGTCACATTTCGTAAGTATCTGATCTACAAAAGAACATATTATGGATTATATACCCCTATTGCAGATGGCGTCGCGAAAGTGTCACGCTTGGATGTGGATTTGAAACTGGATTGTAAGATGGGAGCTGATGAACGTGTCATGGTATCATTAAGATTGTATGAGCCTAAACATCATTTTCTATTATATAACAAAAAGTTACAAAAGTTTCAAGAATTACCCGGTGCTGGTGTATTGATATTTTTAGTTGTGCCAATTGCTCGTTTAGTTTTGGAACGAAATGCAGCGGTTGCCGTCACATTATTTGTCTTTGTTACTGTTTTTAGTCCTTGAATAACCTTTGAAAGTGAAGTAGTATTTTTTAATACACTTAAAATTCGCCAAAATAACCTACATCATATTGATTTGGCGCTGGTATAGAAGATTTTGGTGATAATGTTCCTTCAGCAATGGGTTTTTGAAACATACTGGAATATTTCCGACTAAAATCATGTCGTTCTCTGATGTTTCCCGGCACATTGTACGTGTCAGGAGACGGGACACTGTTACTTGTACTAAAACTACGTCGGTGACTCTGAAATAAAAGAGATGTCGAAAAAAACCAAGCTAAACGTGAAGAGTAGCAGAGATAAATTACTTTTGATGCTAATCCACCAGAACCAAATTTTGAATCTGACGGCTTTCTCAGTTCCTGTAAATTATTTACACTCTGATAACTACCAGGCCCAGGTCCATCATTCTAAATAGAAAGCATGTCAGATTATTATATGCGGATTTTTTGTTTCAAAATTGCTCGATTTACAGCATCGTATTGAAATCGTTTGGCAGTTTGTTGAAATCCATGTTTATCACGATTGCTAGAGATGATAGTTAAATATCTGGAAGGAATCGATGGTGTACCAGATATACTTATAGTATAACCTGCGGAAGGAAATGAAAGAAATAATTTAGTTAAATTCTCAAGTGTTCAATTTTCGAAACTTAAACGTGTTTTAGGTATGTAAGTAACGTGCCATCTATTCACATAATAACAAGGAACTTTACCAAGCAAGAAAGATAGGCTAACTTGATTTATCGAGCAAAATTCTGCTCCCCACAATTCGGCTTTATCAACAATTCGCCTCTATAAAGAGAAGAGTAGACAATTTTGTCCCCTATGGTTCGTTGTGCAGAGTGAAAGCGTTTCTAATATTAACAGTTTTACAATAAAGCCCCCATAAATCTTTTTCTCTTTCTTTGAGTACAACAATAATATTGTCTGTACAAAAAGAAGGATAAATGAATCCAACATCTAAAGCTACTTACTACTATCATCTAAAAAATTCAAGTATAGAAGAAAAAAGATCAATTAACAAATCAGAAAATAAATTAATTAAATTAAACAATTTTTTTATAATAATCGTACCTCGATGAAGTTTGCTTAAATCAGACTTTTGTCGTTGTTGTTTCGGTAATGGTTCTACTTTAACAATACTATCTGTAGCTGTGACAGCCATTCATAAAAATATCTAACAAACATGACAGAAGATAACTCAAGGTATCTCGATCTCTCATAGGGTCATCTTAAATTGATGCAACTTATAAGTGATTCGATTTTTCTTATATTTTCACGATCACAGGCCACCGGTATACGATGACAAAAACGAGAAAATCAATGGTCATACATTGTATGGATCAAATACGAACAGCACGACATAAAAACACACAATAAAATCGTCGACAACCGGAGATGTCTGCAGAGCCAGTCACAGAAATAAACGTAAAGATGACTGTCAAAGAACGTGGAATGTTTTAGTTTAATCACGTGCCACCATATGTGGGGCTCGAAAGTACGTGATAAGGAATGAATTCAATCGGTAAAGCGGAAAAAGCAACGTAAAATTGACTAATCATAAATGAAAGAGTCAAATAATTGAATAAGCATAGTTAGAAGTTACCTGTCAATAACGGCTACAAAAAATATTTTTTCTTGCTTTTCTCTCGTTTGATTGAATAAAAATTTAACCAATGTCTATATAATCGATTAGATGGATGTATGCATCGGCGTTAGAAGTTACCGGTCAATAACAGGTTGTCTACTTTTAGTCACTTATTATAATAAGTGACCCACCAGTTATTTGTGGCTAAAAGCAGACAACGAAAAGCATATGTAAAAAGGCAAATGATATCAGAAAACGTGACTAATAAAAAGTGAATCCGAAAATTCTTGTAAGAATAATGTTTTCTGACGTTTTCTTCTCGATGGAAAGGGAGAAATAAAAGAAAAACAAGCAATGTGATGTTTCAAATGAAATAAAATACAATTTTGTGGTCAAAGGTTTCCATAATGTGACTTCAAAGTTTCTCATATTCGAAAGGACAGTTATCTACATATATCCTAAAACATTTTTGGAAGAGCTGAAAAGTATTCTCAGAGTTCGATAATAAATAAAAATAAAATTTTGGATATAAAGATAATTATTTTCACGAATAGACAAACGATGAAATACGAATAAAGCTACTTTAATAACAGCATGAAACATAAGTAAAATGCAAAATTAGTTAGTTACTGACATCGATTCGGCGTCGCCGACTTCCTTGTAATCGTTTTTTCTAGAGTAACAGCTTATATCTATATTATATTCCTCAATGTTTGTTATTCTGTCTCAGAATGTACGCCCAAACGGTAGGGTCTAGAATGATGAAATTTTGCACATTGTTTCTTGGTCAAAATCTAAGATAAGTCGCGAAAATTTCATTAAAATCAATCAACCAGAAGCCGAGTTATTTTAAAATAAAATTCTTATAAAAATGTACATATATAATCACTAATGAGTATGACGGACGTCAGCTTCAATGGTGTTAAAAACATTAAAAAACGTCAATTAATTCTTTGTTCAAGAACCGAGCAACGCCGGGCATTTCTGCTAGTTATATATAGAATGATAATTCAATTTTTTTTTTAATTGAATGAAGAAAGAAAAATAATCTTGTAAAACGTGATTCCTATGAGACTGGATTGAGATTTATTTATACTTATGGTCGTATTCTTGATATTCAAGAAGAAGTATAGCAGATATAGATTAACAAATAAGTTCTAAATAATGATCGTTACAGTCAATTCAACGGTTTCCATTTAATTCTTATTTGAAAAGATGGTTCATTGAAAATAAGCAAATGTATTTCATTGAGAATAAATGATCTTCATAATTCGAGAATAATTTTCTTTATTTTGACCATGAAAACAGCACCTTTCTCAAATAATTCAATATCCAATTCTTCATAAAAAAGCATTAAGAATTTCTGCATGTCATAAAAATGATGTACGTCAAACGTTGTTGTTATGATTTTTTTTATTTAAAAGAAAAAACAAAATTTTCTACAAAGTTAGCTCATTCCGTATGGAGCCAGCTTTTCATATCGACTTCATGTTTTACCATAAATCACTAGAAACAGGGAAATATGACTTTCTCGTCCGACCAAAGCAAAAGAAATGAAAAACTATTTGACTTTATTAATTTTTTCCATTGAAAATAAAACAAACTCAACTTCCAAATTTTTGATTTTGGTAGGGTTTTAAAAATCTTACCAAGTCCCCTAAAACTGTGCGTTGAAAACAATGATTTATGACAAATCCGAAAACAAAAAAAGTTCTTGCCTAAAAGCTTGTGATTATGAATAAATTTAGATATAGTCATCTAATATAGTTTTTTAAATTCTATAAAATGGGCAGTTTCGCTTTTTGTTTTCAAATCGCAGGATAAAAATTATATTACCTAAATTGAAAAAAACGGACTTTAGGTTAGAAAATAATTGCGGCTGAAGCTTCTCAGTGTAATTTTATTTTTAAAGCATATACAAGAATTTTGAGCATGTTTTTTGTAGAGAACTGGATACTGAATTATTTGAGATAATTAATGTTTTCATGGTCAAAATAAAAAAGTGACTCTGATAATGTGAAGATCACTTAGTCTCTGCTAGTTGTTATATATTTACTTGTCAAAAAGCATCATGCTTTACTTGTTTAGCATCATGCGAAAATGCAAGAGATACAATGGAAGTAATGCTATTTCTAATTTCGAACAGACGTTTACGTCGACCAATATGGAGATCATAAAATGCAACTATAATGTTCTCTTTATCTCCTTGGGCAACTATCGCAGTAATTGCAGCTCCACCGTGAACAATAAAATATAATAAATTTTCAAGTTCTGGACAACAAAAATTTTTTTGACCTTTTGTTTCGACGTTTGAAATGATCAACTGATTTCCCGCTGGATACACAATAACGTGATCATCCTGAAAATACAGACCATTTTCTACTGACGAACGAACACCAAATACAGTTTTAATATTTAATGTAATTGGCACTAATGTAGTCATCTGAAAAACGAAAAAAAGAGAATATTAAATTCTAATCTTGTAGAGTTGTAAGAAAAGTGAAATTATAGATTTTATGCTTGAACGCGTTGTCGCCGTATAGACATCGGTCATGTCTTGATTATTATACACACCTAGGAAAAAAGTGTGTCGTTAAAACGTATTAGTATATATCTTAAAAAGTAAAAGTACAAACATATCACCGGAACCAAAAAAATAAAGTTGGTTTAGAGTTGCTGAAAAGTGATTTTTCGTATTCAGCACACTCGATAACCCAGATTTTCTATAGCTCGGAGTACTTCCGAAAATTTAAGAAAAATTTTGAAACAAAATAGCGCAAAAAGTTTTCCATGGAAAAATAATATTAATTTGAAAATTTTTCCTAAACTTTCGGAAGTACCTCGGCCCAAAACAGAAAATCTTCTGGGTTATCGAGTGTGCTGAATACGAAAAACCACTTTTCAGCAACTCCAAATCAACTGTATTTCTCTTCCGGTGATATGACAAAAAAATAGTTGAACGCACGCTATATATCAGAGAGCAATATCCTTTAGGAAATTACTGATAATTGCCGCTCATATTATTTGAAAACGTATGATACTAAGGAAAATGGAAAATGAAACAGACACATGCTGCAGATAATACAATCAAGGTACGAAATAAAGTGGAACTCGAACTTTTCGGTCAAAGGACTAGTTGTCGTAGTATAGTAAGTAATGTATATAGAAGCAGACTCGTAGTATTTTAACAACAGTACTTCTCATCTTTTCTCTCAAAGCTTCATCTGGGGAACAAATATACGGTGTGACGATTAAGAAGTCGACTGAGTATGAAGCAAGGGACTTTTTTTCACCGTATAAGTTCGCTACATCACTAAATTTCAATCGTAGTGTATTATATCTTGATCCAAATTATCGAGAGTTTAAATAATCCATGCTTACCGATGTACTCCAGCGTATTAGACCAAATTAAATGGAACTAAAGCCTGAAAACAGTTTCGAACCCACATCCTGCGAATCCATAATGAGAAAATAATCGCGGTTTAAAGAAAAGTTCCATTTAATTTTGGTCATTGATCTAGTGCTCAAAGCGCAACCGCGTTTCTTATATAGTACGGTTATCAGCGGCGTATCCAGGGGGGGGGCAAATGGGCAATTGCCCATTTCATTTGGAGATTTGCCCATTGTAATTTTTATTAGTAAGTTTTTGCCCATTGAAATTTTACTTAGCAGATATACCCATGCGGTTTT